GTAAACGTATATGATCAATTTGAAGTTTGAGAAACTTGATTTGATAGGTGTTGGTTGAGACCAGAGTAACTAACATTTTAAATCAAATCATTCTAAGGATTTGAATTCTAACCTTTCCACATTCCATCAAAGTTTTGTCAGGAAGGAACCATTAACTAATATTCAATAGAGGGGCATTATTGTCATTTCCTGCTTATTTGCTTTCCCAGGTATTAGCAGAACTTTTTCCAAACTGAAACACAAAAAATAGAGTGAATGCTTACCTCCTCTATTCATAAAATAAGCAGCAATGAAAGTAGAAGGTAAAATTGAAGCAGATATCGAAGAAGCACGACACAGGAAAACAAACCCAATTCCATATGAGCACAAAACCCCTGCCACCGCCTCCTTTGCGACCCATTCTGAAAGGAAGAAAGAATCAAAGTCCATTATGGCGCAAAAGCAATCGTGCAACAGAGGAGTTAAACCAGAGAATGAAAAATAAAAAAAAAACGGATATACAAATATCATGTGTAAAGGCACCCAACAGTCACCCAAATCGATTCACTTTGAAATCCCAGATGAAATACGCCTCTAAAATGCAAACATAATAAAAACGTAAACCCAGTTGTCCAAATTCAATGTAATAACCGAAAAACAGAATCCGATATCATAACAATCTTAAAATTCCAGAGAATCGACATACCATAGCTCAATTTGATGTGTGTGTGTCTTTTTTTTTTCTGAAATTCGAACTACAATCGATCTCAATCGAACCTCCACTGTAGAAATTGAGAAGTTTGCCAGTCCATGTATATGTTTGGAACTAAAATCCATCAACATCTTGATATATTACCTGAATAGAACACGCGATGACCGACGATGGCTAGGAAGACGGTGATTCAGATCTCGCGTGCTTCTTCCCCATCGGACTGTTGGCACTGTTTCACACTGAACCATAGTCGAATAGAAAAATCCTCCGTGTCGATCTATTCCCTCTATGTAGGGTGGAAACCTAAGCAGACAAACCTAAAAAACAAAAAACAAAGGCCGAATAAGAGAAGAACAGATAATTGCAACAAAGGGACGAACCGATTTTTCTTCAATCAAAGTAAGAACGACAAAAGGATTTTTCTTCAATGAAAGAGAGAATCACAAAGGGAAATTAGAAGAGAACGTCTAGAAAATGTTTAAGCCGGTGGAAAAGATAAAGCTTACCCAATTTTGAAGGCGGTGTGAATAAAAAAATATAAGCTTTTAAAACACAAAGCGTATGTGGCGAAAGTAGGAAAGGAAGGAAAAAAAGGGCACAAATGAGAAATGCAAAAGTTTCTTGTTCACCACCATTTTAGCAAACAATAGTATATATATATATATATATATATATATATATATATATATATATATATATATATATATATATATATATACAGTGTTGTAAAACTCGCCGAGTTAGCCGATTACTCCTCTGAGTACTCGTTACTCGGCCCTTAACCGAGGCGAGTTATAGAATCTCGAGTACTCCCCGATCGGTCCTTACTGAACTGAGCAGTGTTGTAAAATTCGGTTAACTCGGTGATTAATATGTATAATATACTTAATGATGTATTATTTAACACACACATGTGATTATTACTACATATATATATATATATATATATATATATATATATATATATATATATATATATATATCTTTAATTTTCGGTAATTATTCACGAAGTGAGACCATTATGTGTTTTTCAGCTTTTGTGTATTCACATGTATCTAGTTTTGTTATATATTTCAATCAACTTATGATTTTGACATATATAATTTTCCTAAAAATATTTCTACATGAATTACCAAATCTGAGTACTCCCTGAGTATTCCTAAGTACTCCCGAGTACTCGGTAGTGGGTAGTCGGCCGAACAGGTACCGAGTAATAAGTTCTACAAACTTTTATATATATATATATATATATATATATATATATATATATATATATCTATATATATATATATATATATATAAATACGATTTTAGAAATACCCTTAATTTTTCATGATTTTTTTCAAAAAGTTCGCGCGTGTGTATATATATATATATATATATATATATATATATATATATATATATATATATATATATATATATATAAACTTTTTGAAAAAAATCATGAAAAATTAAGGCTATTTCTATTCACTATACTATGAACTTTTTGAAAAAAAAATAGAATAGTTACCAAAGTTTGTTTTAAAAGGTTACAAATTAAAAAAATAATAACATTGCAGATAATATGATTTAAAATCAGATGATTCAAAATGTGTATGATTCAAAATATATATGATTGAATATGTTTATGATTCGTAATTTGTTGTGATCCAAAAATATTTTGATCCAAATATTTTATGATCGTTAATAGTATATCTTTTATGATTCAAAATTAAAAGATTCAAAAATTATAATGATTCAAAATTTGGTATGAGTAAAAACTTTATTTAATTGAATATAGTATGATCTAAAATCGTATTATTAAAAAAATGATATGATCCAATATACTATGATTGAAAATGATACGATCCAAATGATATGATTCAAAATTTTATGATCCATAAATAATATGATCTGAAAATATTATAATGCTTAGTATCTTTATGATTCGAAACTTTTATAATCGTTGAATATTAAAAACTCGAATTGATATTTAAATAAAAAAAATTAAAAAAGAAACAGAAGTAGCTGCTAATATGTATTAAAAACATTTAAAAAATGAAAAACAAAATGAAAAATAATAATAATAATAATAAACGAAACAAGTTATATACGACTTCTAATGATATGAAAAATAAGGTGGAAAGAATATTTCCCTTAGTATCTTTAGCATATAAAATGGAATATTAGAATTCAGGCCACATCACTTTAGATGATCTTTCTATATATCTTTTGATTCTTCTCGGGAGTTGAAAGATTAAAATAAATTGATAAATTTATAGGATACCTCTCCCTCACCCAACGTCTTCAAAACCATTAATTTAAGTGTTCATTTCTTCCTAGTTCCTACCGTGACATTTATACTTATTAGACTTCTAATGATATCCTATGCATTATCGTTGGTATAATTAACTCCTTTTAAAACATATACCGTTATATATACTCTAATAAATAAATGGTTTTTGACACTTGTCACACTCTCATTTAATTTGTCAAATGTTATTTTGTGGTTATTTTGAATTAATTTTTTTCCACATGTCATCTACTCTAATAAATGAATGATTTTTTTGAGACTTGTCACACTCTTATTTAATTTGTCAAATGTCATTTTATGGTTATTTTGAATTTTTTTTTTCCGCATGTCATTTTATAAGTTTTTTCTATTTTTTTTTAAATTTCACATAATATTTTAATGTAATAATTACAATAAATATAGTAATAAATGGATATCAATGTCATTAATTAACTTATTTTTTAATTTCAAAATTCTCAAAATTAAAGCCCATTAGTTTTTTTGGTTATTTATTTAAATTATTTATTGAAATTTAAAAGATAAAAAACATTTCTTTTATAATAATTCATTATTTTTTTATTTTCTTATAAATTCAAAGTGTTCAAGTATTTAGACTTATATATATATATATATATATATATATATATGGTTAGATTATTTTGTTTTTACTAACTATTGTGTGCCAGAATGCACAGATCTGGATCATCGGATGGAATATAATCAAATGTCATGATCTGAGGGTCTATGATAGTAGAACAGGATAACATGTACCATATAATCACACAAATTTCAGCATAAGGGCATTTTAATTAATTAACCTATATTAAAAAAGGAAATTTTCGGATTTTTAGGGATGATTAATTCCTTTATTTTTTAAAAATTTGAATATTTTAAATTAATTCAAATTTAAAAATCCGATTTTATTCTGTCAGAATGATAGAATGCAAACCATAAACTAGTAAATATATTTTTCGATTTTATTCTGTCAGAATGACAGAATGTCAACCATAAACTAGTAAATATATTCTGAAAGAATACACAAATCAATTCTTGAACTAATAATATAACAAATAATTACATTGTATGATTGTGATTCATTGAATAATAACAACATTCTGAAAAAAAAAATTTTAAAAAAACATCAAAATCTAACGAAAACACTAATCTATTCTGAAAGAATATTATTTTTAAGCAACACTTTATACATTGTAGTATAACATATTCTGGTATAATACACTCTCGTTCTATATGTTTTCTTCCTTCTCCACATCAACGTTAGCCTCTTCAAAACCTAAATCCACAAAGAAAAGATAATCAAGTTCCAAAAATTAAACAATTCAATACATTCTAATAGAATACAGCAATAAATATTCTTACAGAATAAACTATTCTTGCAGAATGGTTTTGAATATTCTTAAAGAATTTGTAACATTAAAAAAATCATTTGTTGGGGATTGAATGATTCAACTCCACTAATATAAAACACAAACCCTGAATTCTTTCAAAATCGCTATTTTACACTTGTTTATTGTTTTTTACATTCTAAATCAAAACTGAATGACATTGATACTTCCATGAAAACAAGCCTTGAACAAGCTATATTTACAGACTTCAAAAACATATTACAGCTTTATTCTCCAATGGAGAAAGAAAAACACCCCTACATGGCGTGTTTATTAACAGGCTATTCACAAATATCATACAAATCAATCATATGCAACTCCATTCACAACATTCTATGTAGAAAAAGAATCAATGAATAATAACAAAGACTTACATGTGCATCAGATTTACTCATGCCTCAAAGCTCCCAATAATGCTGCTTTGTAAAGGCCTCATATTCACATGAATGTTCTCCTTGATAAAATTCCTCAACTCAATAAGATTTTCACTTGGGTCTTTTGGGAAGTCCTGATTTGATTGAATTTTCGTGTTCCTTTTCCTGTCAAATGAATTAAACCCAAACACTCATTTGGGTTCTACCGATCACTGCCAAACATCTAAAAAAACTGAGATACCTTCTGCGTTTGACCTTTAATCACCGAACAATCTATCATCCAACCTTTCTTTTCCTTCCGTCGATCCTTGCTGCCAAATCGTTCCCACCTGATGTCGCTGAAGTCCTGATTTGATTGAAACGATTCATCAAAAATGGAAGCTAGCAAGTAAAGATTAGCAAAAAGTGAGAAAAATCATATAATGTACCTTTTCCCAGTTCGGATTCAAGATTACATCCATGGTGATTGTACCTTCCAGGATTAAAATCAAGAAGATGAAGATAAGGTGGAGACGTGAGGACCTTTGATAGAGCAGCGATGGTGGGGATCGTATTCATAAACTGAGATACCTTCTGCGTTTGACCTCTAATCATCGAACAATCTATCCTCCAACCTTTATTTTCCTTCTATCGATCCTTGCTGCCAAATCGTTCCCACCTGATGTCGCTGAAGTCCTTATTTGATTGAAACGATTCATCAAAAACGGAAGCTAGCAAGTAAATATTGTGGAGGGGGAGGAGCTATTTCGATTGGAGAAAGGATGCAAAGAGGAACACAAGCCCTAGGTTGAAACAGAGTGGTCGTTCGATGCAGACGAAAAAGAGGGTGATATCTAGGGTTTTAAACTGATTTCCATTATTTAAAGGAGGCATTAAATGATTTATTATTTTTACCATAATTAGATATTCTAAGTTTACCATTATACCCTTTTTTAATTTATTTAATGATTTATTATTTCCTGAAATCTCATTGGTGCATACATGCACACAATAGGGGTAAAAAACATTTGAACCTAGCTCTCTCTCTCTCTCTATATATAGATATATATATATATATATATATATATATATATATATATATATATATATATATATAATATATATATATATATATATTAAGTTAACCCATGTAAATTACATGGGTCTCACAACTAGTTGAATAATATGAGTAACTTAATGATTAAGGTTCTATCTTTTTATTATTTATTTCGTATGTTTTTCCATTTAAGTAAATGTAGCACAAAAGATATTAAGTTTACATCAAAATTTTAATTTAATATTATGTTTTTTTGTCTCAAATTTGACACTATATTTTCGAAGTTGTTATAATTCAGATTACTTGACCGGTCAACTAGGCTACCTGCTGACGTGACATGATAACGTGTCAGCTTTGATGACGTGACATGTTGACGTGTCAAAATCGTTTTTTTTTCTCACAGAAGACATTAAGTTTCACTTTTTCCAATGTTGACACTAGGTTTAATTTTTTTTTTAATTTTGACACTGTAACACCGTAAATTTTCAAACAAAAATTTCATTTTTCAAAACCACATAAATCTCAATATCACATTCCAAAATCACAATTGTCAAAACACAAGTTTATAAATTGTTTGATAAATCCAGGATCCACAAAACATAAACTCCATCTTGTGTGTATACAATCAAGCCGACGCCTTCCCGTGATCCTGAGAAGTACCTGAAACACATATCACATAACACGGTAAGCAGAAAGCTTAGTGAGTTCCCCAAAATACCACACACATCTCATTAGCCTCTCATGGGTATACTCGAATAAGACCCTCCGGTCAATGTGTCTTAGTGGAACCCTCTCGTCCCACAACTCGGGTGGACCCTCCGGTCCTAACTCAGTAAGCTCAGAATAATACACAACATAAATCATAAAGACATAATGCAGGATATCACAATACTCAATATAAGCATACAAGAACCTCCGGTCACACATAGTTACCACTCAAGGTAAGTATAGTAAGAAGACTCACCTCGTAAGCAAGCAAATGAATCTTATACACGAATCACCGATCTAGCCTCCACCTAACACATATGATAATTATCTCTAATTAACACTCCAATCGCAACTATAAATAAACCAAAGGCTATTCTCTCTCTCTCTCTCTCTCTCTCTAACTCTTGGAATGGGTAAAAGACCATTCTACCCCTCCATGGTCTCAATAATCCCTGTCTTGATCAAACCTTAAAGTCAACTGAAGTCAACACTCGAGTCAATAGTCCATGTTGACCCGACTCGTCAAGTGCACCTATGTGACTCGTCGAGTCTCCTTGTTCCTTCAGAAAAATCACAAAAACCAAACCTTACTCGTCGAGTTGTCTCATCAACTCGCCGAGTTACTCATGTCCGGACTCATCGGGGAAAACCCTAGCCGACTCGTCGAGTCAGCTCATTGACTCGGCGAGTCCATTCGGTCTATATTCTCATTCAGATGTTTAAAGGCAGATCTACAACTCCAAACTCTAGATCTAGTATCCCAAGGCTCGAATGTCACGCAAAGCTGTGAGCTTTTGCGTTCATGCATGGCATATTAGGCTCATAATGCCAATACAAACTCCAACAAGGGTTAAATTCACAAAAGCTTGTCTCTTTCTCAATAAAGTACAGATCTTTGGGCTCTCACGTCCTCCTACAGTCTAGATCTGAGGTTTCAACCTCATGATATGCTCAAATAACTCATTGTCAAAAGATGGATGGGAGAAAACCCTAAAAACCTCCCTAAACTAATATCTCACAAAGGAAAGGTCAAGATAGAAGCTTTTTACCTTTACACTGAAGCTAATCACTGCAGAACTCTGGATCTACAGCCCCTCCTTGATCAAACACGCTAAGCTCTCCGAATCTCCTTCCAAAGATGCACAGAACCACTCAATTTAACCTCTCTCTCTCTCTCTCTCTCTCTCTCTCTCTCTCACTCTCTCACAAATTAATCTGATCGATTAGGGTTTCACACAGGGGAGTTGGGTGGCTAGTGAGGCGGAAATGAGGGCTTAAGGTACTTTAAATAGGACCCAACTCCAGAGATTTAGGATTTCCTTACACAGCGCCAACTCGGTGAGTCCGTTCTTTGACTCGTCGAGTTGGGCATACAACTCGGCGAGTCACTCAGTCAACCCTAAAAAAAATATGCATTATATATATATATATATATATATATATATATATATTATACATGGGAGTCGGGATGTTACAATTCTCCCCCACTAGAATCAGACTTCGCCCTCGAAGTCATGCTCCGGAAAAAACTCTGGGTACTGCTCGCACATCTCAGACTCCGGTTCCCAAGTCCACTCGGATCCCCTGCGCTGCTCCCACTGCACCTTAACCAGTCGCACCTCCTTGTTCCTCAGGGATTTAACCTTTCTATCCATAATTGCTATTGGTCTCTCAATGTAATTCAGGCACGCATCTACCTGAATGTCCTCTAAGGGTACCACTGTCGTCTCATCGGCTACACACTTCCTCAACTGAGACACGTGGAAGGTGTTATGAATCTGGCTCAACTCTGCAGGTAGCTCCAACCGATAGGCTACCTTCCCCACTCTGGCAGTCACTCTGAAAGGACCGATATAAATCGGACCCACCTTTCACTTCTTCTTGAATCGGATCACCCCCTTCCACGGGGATACCTTCAGGAGGACAAAATCTCTAACCTGGAACTCTAGCTCGGATCTTCGTCGGTCTGCGTAACTCTTCTGGCGACTCTGGGCTGTCAGTAACCTCTTTCTGACCTGGTGAATCTACTCGGTCGTCTTAAGCACTATATCAGTGCTACCCATCACTCTCTGCCCCACCTCCCCCTAATAGATGGGAGTCTGACACCTCCTCCCATATAAGAGCTCAAAAGGAGGCATACAAATACTGGAATGATGGCTGTTGTTATAGGAAAACTCAGAAAAGGGCAAATAGGTGTCCCAATTTCCTCCGAAGTCCATAACACATGGCCGCAGCATGTCCTCAAACGTCTGCATCATCTGCTCACTCTGCCCGTCAGTCTGTGGGCGGTATGCGGTACTGAAGTGCAATCGGGCACCCAACTCCTCATGGAACTTCTTCCAGAACCTGGAAGTAAAACGCACATCCTGATTTGACACTATCGATGTCGACACTCCATGCCGTGCCACCACCTCTCTCACATAAATCTCGACCAATTTCTCTACAGAAGAGCTCTCACTGATAGCAAGGAAGTGAGCACTCTTCGTCAACCGGTCCACAATCACCCATATCGGGTCGACACCTCGCGCGGTTCTCGGTAACTTGGTGATAAAATCCATGGAAATTTGTTCCCACTTCCACTGGGGAACCTCTAAAGGCTGCAACAAACCATGTGGTCGCTGGTGCTCTGCCTTGACCTGACGACATGTCAAGCATCTCTCGACTACCCATGCCACATCTCTCTTCATATAGGGCCACCAATAATCCATCTTCAAGTCCAAATACATCTTGGTGGCTCCCGGATGGATCGAGAATCTCTATCGATGGGCCTCCTCCATCAGAATGCGTCGAGCTCCACCCGTGTATGGCACCCAAATCCACCCACGGAAAGTCATAAGTCCCCGACTATCCGTCTCAAACTCGGAAACCTGTCCGATCACCCGCTCCCTCCTGCGGTTCTCCGGTATCACGGCCTCTACCTGGGCCTCTCGGATGGTATCTAAGACTGGAGTCATCACCGTCATCCTCATACACATATCTCGAATTGGAGCATTCTCTGATCTACGGCTCAAGGCATCAGCTACCACATTAACCTTGACTGGGTGATATAATATCTCGCAGTCGTAGTCTTTCACTACATCCAACCATCTCCTTTGTCTCATATTCAGGTTGGGCCGATCCATAAGGTACTTCATGCTCTTATGGTCCCTATATATGGTACACCGAACACCGTACAGATAGTGGCGCCAAATCTTGAGGGCGAACACCACCGCCCCCAACTCCAAATCATGGGTGGGATACCTCGTCTCATGAGGCTTCAATTGCCCCGATGCATATGCAATCACATGTCCCCTCTGCACCAACACAGCTCTCATCCCTGATATAGATGAATCACAGTAAACTACGAAGTCCTCCACTCCCTCGCGAAGGGCTAACACTGGAGCTTCGCACAATCTCTGGCGATGAGTCTCGAATGATGCCTACTGCTCGGGCCCCCAGGCAAAAGTAACACCCTTCCGAGTCAATCTCGTAAGAGGAACGACAATCTTGGAGAAATCTGTGATAAATCTCCGGGAGTAACTTGCCAGACTAAGGAAACTCCTGATCTCGGATGGGGACCTCGACACCTCCCACCGCATAACTGCCTCAATCTTGGCCTGGTTGACCAAAATCCCATTTTGATTAACGAGGTGCCCCAGGAACTGGACCTCTCGTAACCAGAAATCACACTTGGAGAATTTGGCGTAAAGCCTCTCCATCCTAAATACTCCAAGAATCTCCCGAAGATGCTCCTCATGCTGCTCTCTGGACCTTGAGTATACCAAAATATCATCGATGAACACGATCACCAATCGATCCAACATGGGCCTACACACCCGGTTCATGAGATCCATGTACGCTACCGGTGCAT